GAACTACGGTTAAACAAACAATAGAATCGCCAAACCAAAGGGCCACTTTCTGCCCAAATACGGAAAGAACGTCCGTAGGAAAAGAAACGGCAGAGGGAGGGATCAAAATTGGGGATTAGGTGGCCAAGTGGCCCTAAGTTAAAAATTTCAACTTTTTCTTTGAAGTGTTCTATCTCTTGTATTTTTGTTCAAAATATTTTAAAAAATATACCAAATTTCATAACTTTTTATAATAGTTCATATAACACCAATATTGAATATATAAATTTAAGAAAATCTAAAGACCATATGAGGAGAAAAGGCTCGTTGCAACCATGATCCGTCAAATAACATAAATAACATATTAGAAGTGTCATCTACAGTAACTTCAGTCAATACAAGTAGAAAAGTAACTTCAACTTTAATTGTTTAATTATTACAGGTATGCCGGTGGTTTTTAGGCTCAATTTTTTTTATAAATAAATTCATGTTCTAAAATTAGAACTCACGTTTTTACACCGCAATTTCATGTTCTAATTACGGGATTTTAAATATATTGGTCGAAAGTGTCAATAAGGAGTCATTAAACTAGATCAGATCGGTCTAGTTTAAATAATTGACTTAAATTGTGTTATAATAAAAAAAATTAAGGTTGAATTTACTTTTTGACTGTATTAAATGAAGTTATTGTAGAGATCCATTTTCAATATTTCTTCATATAACTTTTATTTACCTTAAATTACCTTAATAATAAAAAATATTTCATATACTTCGTAAAAAAAATCATAAATCAACAAAGAGGCCGTTAGTTTGGTAACACTGAAATCGGCTGATTCTGCTGATATTTATGAAGTTCTGGCTGAAGTTGCTGTATTGACTTATTCTGCTGATTTGTGAAAAAATACATTTAAAATATATTTTATTAATAAAATAAAGAAAAAAGTATATGAAAAATAGCTAAAATGGTCATCCACATTAACTTCAACGAATACAACCAGAAAAATAACTTCAACCTTACTTTTTTCTTATTATTACACAATTCAGTGCGCGAAATCAAAAGTTACGTATTTGGTTAAAAGTTGACCGATAAGCTGAAAAAAGAGTCATCAAACGGGCTCACAATCAATCAATCCAGAAACTTTATCCAGAACTTCATAAACTGTAGCGTAATCAATCGATTCAGTCAATTTCTTTGTTACCAAGCGGGCTCTAAGAAATTATGAGATCTTAATTTTAGAAAATTGATCTACTTAAAAAATATTTTGTAGCCTAAAAACCCTCATTCATTGTATCATCAATTTATTTTTTTTTAATTTTATATATTGAATATGAGATCTTAATTTTAGAAAATTGATCTACTTAAAAAAAAATTGTAGCCTAAAAACCCTCATTCATTGTATCATCAATTTTTTTTTTAATTTTATATATTGAATATTGGTGTCATATGAAAGGTAATAAAAAGTTATGAATTTTGATACAGTTTTTATAAAAATCGGATTATAAATAAAAAACTTATACCAATTTAAAGAAAAAGAGGGATTTTTTTAACTTTGGATCCATGAACTATTTCCTATTGGTCAGCTCCTCCTGTTGGGTCCTACAAGTACCCATCTCTTTCATGCGGTGCTCTTCATCTACGCAGCGTGCTTCCTAGCTTGCCAACCATAGTTTGTTGGAGCAGTATTCAGTTAAATATTATTAACTCAACACCAATTCCGTAAATACTTTTTTATTCTGCAATATTTTAAAAAAAAAAACTCAATAATAATTATAATAATTATAATAATTATAATAATTATAATAATTATAATAATTATAATAATTATAATAATTATAATAATTATAATAATTATAATTATTATTATTCTTGTTGTTATTGTAATTAGTATAATTAATATTATTATTGATATTATTATTATTAGTATTATTATTATTCTTATTATTGTTATTATTATTATTATTATTACTATGATTATTATTATTATGATGATGATTATTATTATCATGATTATTATTATTCTTACTACTAATATGGTTGTTGTTGTTGTTATTAGTTTTGTTTTCGTTATTATCATATTATACGGAGTAATTACAATTAAAATTATAGAAATAAATATTATAATTATAATTAAAATTATAATTATAGAAATAAATATAACTATAAATATAATTACAATTATAATTATAGCTATATCTATAACTAGTGTAATACGTATAATAATAATTATACCTATTATAATTATGTTTGTAATTATAATTATAATTTTAAACATTATGATTATAATTATAATTATAATTATATTTAAATTATGTATGTGTAATTACATTTATAATTATAGTAATTATAATTGTAATTATAATTTTAGAAATATTTAAATCAAATCAGATCAGAAAAATTCAGATCAGATTAGAAGGATTCAGATCAGATCAGATCAGGAACATTCAGATCAGATCAAGAACATTCAGATCAGAAAGATTCAGATCAGATCAGAAAGATTCAGATCAGATCAGATCAGAAAAATTCAGATCAGATCAGAACTTAAAAAAATTCAGATTAGAAACATTTAGATCAGGTGAAGAGAACATCTTCGTAGTCACACCACATATGAGATATGGTTGATTCACATATGTTGCTGGTTAAAAAATCTATGTAACTTTTATATAGTATGAGTATTTGAGCACAATTTTGTCCATATTGAATTGCAAGGATTTTAAAATTTGTCCGATTAAATCACACTATCTCACCTCCATTAATATTGAAACGTGAGGGGGACACGATTTTTAAGAAAAGTAAGTATATGTGATTGATATTGAATTGGTAAATTATGAATAAAGTAAAAATGATTTAGATTCACATGAACTTCACTAAATTTGGAATGTGACAATTTATTGGGATTTGAAAATGATGCCAAATTGTCACTAAGTTCGAATATTTTTAATATTGAATATGTATTTAGGATTATGAATATTGTTTTTGGATCATTACTATTTTGAATATGTTTTTTGGATCATTAATGTTTAATTAAATTTGGAAATGATGTTATATTGTGACTATCGTTTAAGATTCCACACTATCAATGATCATGATTCATTTCCAACATATTTGCTTTGATCACACACTATTGGAAAGAGAATGGAGTTATAGCCTAATTCTTAGCTTATTACAGTTGGAACCGGATCCTCTCTCTTGTGATACCTCTTCCTATAAGGTGTAGGTTCAATTGTGATATGTTCGAGAGGAAAGGCTCGAGAATGTGGTGCATATTTTTGGGTATTGATGAAGTAAATTGTCCCGAGTAAATAAAAAAAAAAATAGAACGAACATAATATTTTATTGTGGAAATCAAATCGGTGAAAAATCACGGGCCTTTGTAGGCGGTACATGCCAATGGGACATATGAGCTTTTATTATATTCGTGTAGGGAGGTTAAATTTACAAAGCATATGGAGCTTTTAGGGAAGGCATTAATGGAGAAGTGAGCTAGGAAGTAGAAATACAGGTGTGTAAGAGGAGAGAGGGAAGTGTTCACCCATAAGAAATGGGATTGTGTGAATATGTTGATACTTTCAGTATATCCGGTTCCTGACAAGATCTTATAGTCGGACTAAGATGTGTCTGGAGAATATTCTTCATCAGTTATGTTTGGCACAATTAGCTATCAAGATAATTTTATGAAATTTTTAGTTAACTATTAGTTTTTAGGGGTTGAAAAGATCTTAAAAGGATAAAATGATAGATGTTTGATAAAAAACTGACTATTTGAACGGTTCGGTGACTATTCTCCATCAGTTATGTTCGGTGACTATCTTAAACACCATTTTTTTCGTTGCACAGACAAAAATAAACGTGAAGATGACGACGGAAGATGATGTGAAGCTAAAGGACGAGAAAAGGGTAAAAAGAAAGAAAAAGAAAGAAGTAAAGTTTGCGGAAGATTTATATAGGGTGTAGCCTGGGACTTGAAAGATGAAACATATCGATATAGAACCCGAATGATGAAAAACTATCAAATCTAGAACCTAACATTTCATAGGTTTTAATTTATTTAATTTTTTATTTATTCCATTGTAAATATTTAATGATTTTTTCTTCACAAAATATTATCAGTTTAATAAAACTAAATAATATTTTTTCTGACGCAAACATTTGAGATTTTCTTTAATTTAGGATCCAAAAGATGGAGCAATTATCAATTAAAGATTTAGATGATGAAAATGTTAATGCAGGATCTATGATAGAAAACTAATTCAGAGCTTCGAAATCATTAATGTTAATTAATTTAAATATTATTTTATTCGTTAACATTAAATTGTTGCGAAGAAAAAATCATTGAAAACGGTGTAGAGTTAAATTAAAAATTAAAAATTCGTATCTATGGGTTTTAAAATCTTGATAGTTTAATCATTCGATCCTTAAATCAGTTAAATGGATACATTCATACATTTTATCTTTCCAAGTAGTAGTAGTAGTTAACATTTTTTTGTATCCTAAATTGAATTCTTTATTCCGAATTGATTGATTCTCTCTGGTGAATGTGAATATGTGATCGATGAAGAATTACTCGAGAGTATCTTAAAATGCTATTTTATTAACTTGTTGACACTATAAAATACAAGGGGTGTTTGGATAATTGGATCTACTTAAAACTACTTTTGCTTTTTCAAAGAACATAAATAGATAATGGAGTGTTTGGATCAAATTGAAGAATTACTTCTGAGTGCTCCAAATTACTACTAGAAACAATTTTTTAGAAGTTCGGAGAAACTAATTTCTGAAAAAATGATATTGGTTGTACTTTTGAAAAAGCAACAGAAGCAGATATAGAATCAATTCCAAACACCCACCGAGGTGACTGACCATTTAGGGTTTAGGGTTTAGGGTTTTAGGGTTTAGGTTATTTTCAAAATCCTAAACGCAATGCTTGGTTTGGGTTAGTTTCATGTAAAAACAATAAGGATGTTTCACTTGTTCCCGTCTTAAAGTAAACTAGATTTGAATAAAGTGTGCTAGACTTGACAAATTGAACCAAGCTCAGACAACTGTAAATCACACATTTACCATACATTTACCCAACCTAAACACACAAAACCATAACATTTGATGTCCAAGCCCATGACGATATCCAGTATAATCGAAGATGGCATTATATATTCTTATTACTATAAAAATAAGAACAAAGGGCTCTTGATATGATAAAACAAAGATAATACTGAATCTATGAATGCTGAAAGAGTACAGTGTCAATTAATACTCCAACAATGTGGCTTTCTACTCAATGTGTTCTAATAAAGAATTACATGACAGGTTTTTACCTTGTGTGCGATAAAGGAAGTCCAAGAGTTGCTTGTAACAAAATAAACTTGTTAGCCCCACTAGCGTTTCTTCAATGCATTCATTCTGTCCCTCAGATAGTATAGCTTGGCCCTTCTCACTTTATGCTTGTCCAATACCTTTATTTCCTTTATATTTGGAGAGTATCTAAAATCAAAAAAATGGTCAAAAAATAAGGAACTAGTTAATGGTTAAGTCACTTGTGACTTGTGAGAGCATCTAACTGCGAGACACGCTTTTTCTTCTTTCAAAAATTGCATACCGAAACATCAATCTAATACATTTATTATCGCAATGGTTATTATTGACTCTGTCCCAAAGAAATTGTATTTGACCATGTATTTTTTTATTTAGGCAATTTTTTGAGAGATTTACGTGAAAATTGGATCTATTTGAACCAAAAGGACCCTATTTTGGGACAAATGTTTGGAGGATGAATGTTTATTGGGACAGAAGAGTAGTTTCTACAACAAAAACAATTCTTTTATTAATGTTTCAAAGTGATTCCCATCACCCAAAAAGATAGATTTCAAACTCTACTGTCGTTTGAAATATGTCATGTTTGATCAAACAAACATTCCTAACTTTTCCTCTAAGTTTTCAAAAAATAGTTTGAGACAAATTACATACAATAATTTTTTGTGAAATCAACAAATAAATTTAGAAGTATAAGTAGAGGTGATTATTTTTGCGGTTCTACCTTAACCAAGTTTAAAAGTTGTGCCTAGATCAAATAATTTTTTCCCTAAAAGGTATTACTTCTATCTCGCCATGAGGCAGTCCTATACAAGGTTTTATCATTTTGTGTTAGCTAAAAACTCACAGAAGATTTGAAATGCGGAAATGGATAAGAGAGTATGTTAGCCAGGAAGTTATTTTAGATTTTCAGGAAACCACATACATCAGTTTTTACGTACAAAGCATGCAATATCCAAGCAGTTAACCACAACTTAGTTTCCAAAGTATGGGAAAACAGTAAAGATGATTTGATATCGTTAAGATATGTAGAATAAGTGAAACGGTTTTAAGATCCGCTTGCAAGTTTTTGTGTGTAGCTAGTTGACATGCTGACTCCAAACAACTGCTAGAGACCATCAACAGTACTCAACCCCCAAGTTTATGAGTTTAAGGAAAATTAGGCAGTTCTGCAGTCAAAAACAAATCCAACTGCTAGCCTGGTATTATATACTACAAATAGGAAATCACATTTTTGTATGTGTATTTATGTATATTATTATTTCAAATAAGAATTGAAAAAAGAGCAGAGTACACACTCACAGGTGATAGAGGGATTCAACACCAACACCCGCAACAAGTCTCCTTAATCTGAATGTAGTATTCAAACCAGCATTGCGCCTCGCTATTACTGTTCCTTTGACTATTGAAAGACGCCTCTTATTTTCGGGTACCTCCTGACATACGAGCATTGAGTATATCAAATTTATTGACTGTGATTCTTTTAAGAGCATTAAAACATTGTACAAAATATAATCTTCATCATAATTTATTGGATAAAGAAATGAATAGGGAAGAATAAGTTTCTAAAAATGAACACCATTTACCACTTTGAGCTGCAAAATATAGCCAGGCCTTATATCAGGTATCTCTCTTAGAGTCTTTACTTCCACAACTGCTTCCTTGTCCAAAATCTGCAACGCCAAGGGTCGAAATATACCATCCATAGATGCAGATAGTCGTTGATTTTATTTAGATGGCAAACTGAGGAGGATAAAAGTAAGAAAAGATGAAAGTAGAAAACCACATCACGTGACTGGTTGACAATTCAGTACCTGCATTATGTGTTTTGCTGTCTTATCAAGTCTCTTAAATTTGATACGTGGAGTTGGTTGACAGTCAGGGCTTGAAGCATCTGGGGAAACAGTACCCCCTGAGGTTGCCATGGTTGCAATTAACCTACTAGGAAAAATAAGCCCCATTGTGGACAGTTGTGAAAAGCAGGACCTATGATCCCTATGATAAGATGGCAATACAGCAATGCCATTTTTTGTAGTGTGTATAAGATGCTCTTCTTTTGTTCCACGGTTTCGCTGAAAGTGTCAGGTTTAAGAAAAGAATTATTGAACAGAAGACTTGAACCACAATATAACACAACAATGAACAAGCACAACTATCTACAAACTATGGTAACTAAGAAAATTATAGGCATTTCTTTGTGGTAATTTCACATGTTTGCTCCATAAATGAGCAAAGAAATTCATTAAGGGAGTGTTTAGATCTAACTTTAAAAAAAATGCTTCTGTTCCTTCAAAGAGCATAAGCACTTTGAGGAGTGTTTGGGTGAAACTGTAAAAGCACTATGAACTGCTTCTGACTGCTCCCCGAAAACAGTTTTTGAGACACTAGGGTAGACCAGTTTCTATAAAAATGATTATGCTTGTTGACGCTTAAGCATAAGCATAAGACTAAAGCATAAAGCATAAGCATAAATATCCATGTAACTCATACTCATACTCATTTTCATTTACCCCAGTGCCGCAAAGGCTCCCACCTACAGTGGGGTAAGGGGGGGTCGGGTGTATGCAGTCTTACCCCTGTACTAAAGCACAGAGAGACTGTTTCCGAATGACCCATAGTGAAAATCGCGTTCTAAATTGCATGGACTGACTGCTGCTTCATAACAAAGAAGCACAGACAGTTTAGTGAGCTATTTTGCATTATTCCATCATAATCTTGAGCCAAAAAAATAATGAATCTTTGGCTCCATTGCAAATGAATCCATGTAACTGTGAATATTAATATTAATATTAATATTAATATTAATATTAATATTAATATTAATATTAATATTAATATGAAAATCAATATAAACATTAGTATAAGCATAAATGTGTTTGGGTTTTCATTAGCAGTTAGTTTTGTTCAAATGGATAAGTATGGTGAGATTATATTTGTGAGTATCTACCTCTAATGTTTGATTGATTAAACATTTCAAGATCTCAAAAGAATATGAATGTTATAAAACAATTAGTTATTGTGTCTACATAAACTCAATATTCAAATGTTGGTATGTAAACTACATTACTTGGAATATTAGTGTTTACACCATTTATCATATTATATAGTGTTTTAGCATTATTTCTTTATACATAATTAGTAAGAGAGAGATGATGATTTAGTACTATAACTTTACTTACTTGAATATCAGGTCTTGTAACTAATAACTGTTTAGGCTTTAAAAACTTTGCCACCATATAGTACAACTTCTGGAAAAAAGTGGACCAGAAAGGTCACTACTGGAGTGAAATGTTTTGCTGGAAATTGTACATTCCAATGGCAAAGTCATCAATATGGACAAACATATTAGTTACAAAATCTAAACTGCAAGTGAGTAATGCTACAAAGCACATGAATATGTTAAGGTACTAAATCTACAACTTTTCCTAATCAATAAGTATTGCATTTAGGTAATTTACGATACAATTATTTACATTAGCAAACTATCCCAACATCTTAGATCGGTTTTCTATTTAATAAAGCATGATCAATACCAAACACTTAAATCGGGATCATTTTGTCAAACAGCGAAATTTGATTATGCTTCTGCTTTTTAAAAAACTAAACATTAGCAATTATGCCTTTTAGAAATTAATATTTCATTTCATTTTCATTTTCATTTACCCCAGTGCCGCAAAGGCTCCCACCTACGGTGGGGTAAGGGGGTCGGATGTATGCAGTCTTACCCTTGTACTAAAGCACATAGAGACTTTCTGGATGACTCATAGTGAAAATCGCATAAAAAATTGCATGGACTGACTGCTGGTTCATAACAAAGAAGCGCAAACAGTTTAGTGAGACATTTTGCTTTATTCCATCATATTTTCAAGCCTTTTAGAAATTAATAAAATTAATAAATTAATTTTTCTAATCAATAAACTATGCATTTAGGTAATTTTTGTAACAATTATTTACATTAACAAACTATCCAAACACATTAGATTGGTTTTCTATTTAATAAAGCATGATGAATACCAAACACTTAAATCAGGATCATTTTGTCAAAGGGTTTTTTACAAGAATATTACTGAAATAAAACATATTTGCATATATATAACTATTCATTACTACAATGTAGTGTTGTGGTAACTAAAGTTCAAAACTTGAACATGAATTACTATGATTTCATTACTACTCTAGTCACTAATCATACTTTTGTAAATCATCTTTATTTTGGTCATATTTATGTAATTATTTCTTTGTCAAACAGCGATATTTGATTCAGCTTCTGCTTTTTTTTAAAAAAAAAGCAAAAGGAATCAATTCCAAACACTCCTTAAATAGGCCTACCCCGCCTACCTGATCCACTTTGAAGCCTTTAGTTTAGAGAACAAAGCAAGTTTATTAAAAATGAAATCAACATTAACATGAATGTCCAGAAACACAAGTATACATAATATATAGCAGACAACCAGACAACATCAGCAAATGAAGCATTTGCTGGTAACACAAGAAAATGGACACTTCTTTTTTCTTCTTTCGATAAGTGAAATAACAATGTTAACATATGAGATTAGTGGTTATTTCTCTGTTGTAACTACACAACTTTGCTGCATAGCTCAGAAAGGAAAATGACTAAATAAGCCCTGATCAAATATGAAAGCTTGAAGCTCTAGAAAACAAGTCAAGAAGATAAAAACGAAATCAAAAATTAACAAGGCAGTCCTGTACATTGCAGACATCTAGGAAAACCACTCAGAGCATTTTCTGGTAACACAAGAAAATGAACATTTATTTGTTTCTTCTCTAGTCTCTAGATAAGTAAATAATATCATTCTAATAATGGTTGGCTAAAATCAAAATTGATGTTTTTTGAAGTACTAGTTTCACACTACTATACCATCCTGTATCAAACAATGACAGTTTGCTAAAATCGAAATCCATGTTCTTGCCTCGTTCAACAGGCACCAGGCAACCTAACTGTTTCCAGTTCAGCACATAGATGCGATGTGATAACCGAGAATCACACTGCACTCCTTCAGAAAGCAATTAACAACACCCAATTACAACATTCTGGTGTACCTCTAAGTAGCATGGAAGCGGGAAACGGAAAAAGACGTAAACCTTATATGTACAATTATGAAAAGTTAGGCTGATTTAGAGGCCATGTCTCGGTTTAACATCTGATTCGGCCATTTTAGGAAAAGGCACTAATGAAAACTGAGATAAAGTAAGAAGGACAACACACCAATAAGCTCCAGTAAAAGTAGGAAGAACAACACAATGGGCAGCCCGATAACAAAACATCTTCTAAGTTCTAACGATTTCAGTAAGGTAAACTAGATTGAACCCACGAAGAATACAGATATGCATAAAGAAAATCTTTAAGAGGTAAGAACTACTTACACCAGAAGCAATCCTTTTCCCTGAATCGACATTTCCTGGTAAACGGAAATTGAAGTAGATAAATAAATATACAGCACTTGATATACTTCTTTAAAATTATAGTGAGAAATGGAGAGATGATTCACGAACCAGAGGCGATGGTGGAGGGTATCGAGAAGAGAGCTAGCGGGTAACGAGACGTGGCAGTCGAAAGATGGGTATTGGCTGATGTGGCGGCGGCGATATAGTTTTGCTGGAAAGCGGAGGAATACGGTGGGTTTATCCTTCCAAGCTGCGCCCAAAATCTACTCCACATTTCGCTCTCTTGCAGAGGAAATGCAAATGGCAAAGGTTGTTTAACAAGAGGAATTTTTACAAACGGAAATTGAAATTAATAAATAAATTAATAAATAAATAAATCAAAAAGGAAGACACTGAGGGCCCCAACACCGATCGGACGGCATGGTGGGACGATGTAAATTGGACTTTAGAGAGTGGAAATCTGTCCCCGGTACTTGCAGAGACCTTCTATTGAATAACCTCTCCTAGCAGTCATCGCAAGTCGAACCCGGGACCAAACCTTGTGACACTCCCTCGCTACGAGTTGAACTACGTCCACCGGTTAAATAAATCAAAATGATAACAAAAGGAGCATTTATTCAATCATTTCGGTCTTTTGGGTTGCTCAGTACATGATTATCGAACGTGACCCCTGGAAGGTTATAAGACATACTCTATAGGAAGTATTTGAAATCACATGTTACACTATAAAATCTATATAGAGTCATATGAGATGTTGTGGTACGATCTCTACCTACTACAGAGATCATGACACAACATTCATGTGACTCCATAAGAGAAATATATATGACTCTTTAAAAAATTTGCAATTTTTGACTTATGTCTTGAAATTTTAGTCTTTTAAAAAGTTTTTTTTGTTTACTAAATGTAACACAATGTGTTGATATTTATCGGTAAAGTTTGAATTTTACTTCTTTTATATAAATTCAACTTTTGTAGATTTTACATATCAAGATAAAATTATACATAGATCTTGTAGAGTTATAGATCAAGATATGGTTATTAAAAAGTATTCATATATTTTAGAGCTGAAATAAAATTAAAACAAACTCCATAATTTCTTAGTCATTTTTTGTTTCGGAAACATATACCTTGTGGCAGGTTCTAGGTCTGGTTCAAGGTCGGATGGTAGATATTGGACTCTTTGTCCGTTTGTATGCGGTTTATGTTCTCTCTCATCATTAATATAAGTCACATTCTTCTTAAAAAACATACACCTTGATGAAATAAATCAAAAAGAAAATTTGAGATACACATGGTGGGACAGGTGAGGTGATTATTATCAATCATGGTTTGCATTCAAAAACCAGCCTCGACGTGATGACTGGGCACCCTGATTTTCTTGTAATTGGTGGGAAAAATCGGTCACACACTTAGGCAATTTGTGTACAACGATAATTTATGTGCAACAACAGTTGTTTAAAATATTAGGACGTGTTTACTCCGCTGTTAAATTCACAGTTAGATTAGTAATACCGATGAAGTAAACACAAAGATTGCTTAAAAAATTGTTTATTAACCGGAAAAAGGTGCATAAAGTGCAGCTTAGGCGCTTACTATGCATATCATCTCTCATGTATTAATTAAACGATGACACTTTAAGCTTTTCTACTTTCTAAATTTACTTTTACTCTTACTCCTCACCCTTACATCTTACTCTTACCCCTACCCCACCCATACCCTTAAACCTACCTCCGCCTTTTTTACCTAGCTCCACCCATTCACCCTACCTTACCCAAACCCCACCCAAACTCATCCCGTGTACCCCTAAACCCTCCCCCCACCTAACCCCTGCACCTACCCTCCCCAACCCCCGAGTTAGGGGTAGGGTACGGACCCCCTACCATGCCCCCTTACCCCATAGACCCAACCCCCACCACCCCTAACCCGACCCTACCCCTACTCCTACCCCACCCTTACTGTCTCCCATACTCGTACACCTTACCCCTGCACCGACCCTTGACCCCACCCTGACACCTATATCCTACCCCATAGCACCTTACCCCTACCTCGTACCTGTACCCCTACCCTGACCCTCTACCTGTGGCCCGTACCCTTACCACCACCCGTTAACCCCTACCCCCACCCTAACCTACCCAAGGGTTGGGTAGGGGTAGGGGTATGGTCATGGCAGACTGGTAGGGGTAGGGGCGTAATAGGGGTATGGGGTTGGGGTAGGGGTATGGGGTTGGGGTAGGGTTTAGGGTTGGAATTGGGGGTAGGGGCATGGGTAAGGTACACATACGAGGTGGTAGGGGAGTAGGAGTAGGGTTATTTTAGACATTTTAATGTTCAACGATGCTTTAAATCTTGTGAAGTAAACATGAGTTTATAGCACTGGATATTTTAAGCGCTCTTATTAACTCAAGTCTTTTTTTAAATGGTCAAAACGGATGGCTTAAATTGATATTACATCATTCAGGTAGGGGGTAAAACGACAAAAGACCACATGCAACCGCCAGCCCTCGAACCAGACTTAGGGTCAATGCCTCCAAAAAACAATATAACTCACTGATCCTATAATGAACATAAATGAGCCAACGATGGTTAGAGCAGATCTTCCATCACCAATCACAATGCAAGAGTCTTACAACAATAAATGTAACCAACAGAAGAACAAATCATGAAAAAATAAATAGCAAACAAACAGTAAAATTAAAATATTGCTTCCAAATCCTAAACTCTCTTGTATTCCATGACGGCGGTTCAGGAGGGGGACGGCCCAACATTACTGTAGCTTCTTCCGCTTCTTGCCTCCGATCCAGATCTGTTCCAGCCCTTAGCCCCCGCCTCGTCCATGACGTTATGATCTCAACGATGAACGACATCCTCGAAACTCTCCACCTGCTGTTAGGGGTACACAACCTTTGACCTCCATATAGGCATTGCCGTCTGTCGAAAAAGAGAGTCCCATGAAAGGCGGACGGAATTCACACAAGAAAGACACACTTCGGCCAAGACGAAAGCACAGAAAAAGAACCCCTAAATCGGAGACGACCGCTTAGAGAGAAGCTCTGGATTCAAATAAATGAATGTAATACCTTTTAGTATAATAACTCATAATTGAATAATTCCCTAGCTTTTTTATTAACTAAAGTATTAATAAACATCGTTTAGTAATATAGTAGGGGTGTTTTCCATTATCCGGCTTATCTAGTTTTGTTGACCTTAATAATTAATCAATTAGGGGTGTTTGGAACTGATTCTGTTTCTGCTTCTTTTTTAACGCAGAAGCAGAATCAATCAGTTTTCAGAAGATGGTCACCCTAGTTTCTAAAAAAACTTATTCTATGAGTAAATTTGAGTAGTAGAATCACTTTTTCACTTTCACCCAAACACTTCAGTTTCTTCTTGTGCTCTTTGAGGGTGTCATTTTTTTTTACAACTTGCTGTTTTTGTTTTTCCACGCTTGAAACGACAGTATGATTTCCTGAATTGTGCACTTCGTGTCCACTTCATGTGAATTCTCTCAGCTATGGACGTAGTTTCGTATGCTCAAAGAGACACAAAATCTCAGGTGCAGTCAAGAACACAGTGCCACAAAGAAACAGAAACTATGCTTCCCATTCCCTCACGCGACGCTGAGATGCCTAACCCATTCGGCGATTTAGGTGCTGGCTTGACAGATTCGGAGCTCCGGGAAACCGCGTACGAGATCGTTATTGGGGCTTGCCGGAGTTCAGGCACGGGTCGTCCGTTGAAATACGTTTCCGGTGCCGATCGGAATGGTTTCCAGAGGTCGGACTCGATGTCTTCCTTCTCTTCTCGATCGTTGCCGAGGTCGATGTCTACGTGTGGGTCGAGCACGGTGAAGAAGGCGCTGGGGTTGAAGTCCAAGAAGAAGAATTGTCCCGATTCGACGGAGGATGCAGACCAGGACCAGAATTCAGTGAGCCGACAACGAGCCTCTACGGTTGGGGAGCTGATGAGGGTCCAAATGAAAGTTTCGGAGCAAGTTGATTCCCGGGTCCGTAGAGGGTTGTTGAGAGTAGCTGCTGGACAGGTAAGTTATTGCGATGCTCATGATTTCCCAGAAAACTGATATGCAGAGCAAGATAGTCATTACTTTTCATCAAAATCTCCCATGAAAATCTTAGGCTATGGTTGGATCCCGGAATATTCAGCTAACAGAAAGAAAATGCTAAATAAAGTTACTTTCTTATGTTTAATTGATTTTACCCAGGATAATGCAAACATGAATGAAATACAATGGATGTTTTAATTTCACTTGCATATAATCAAGTAAAAAATTGAAATTGAACATTTTGTAAGCATAGTTTATTGAGTTTAAATCAATGTTTATTTTCATCAACATTTTTTCCTACCAATTTTCACCTACAATTTCTTCCATATTTTCTTTCCCCAGCATTTTGTAGGCCCAAACAGACATATAACAAAGAGTAAAAAAACTGCCTTTCAAGTGAGCACGAATCATGTGTTAATTTTGTTAAGGACAATGATATACCACCATTTTTGCACCAAGCTTTCACCATTTCTTCGTATTCTTTGACTGCTCCTCAATTAGACAACCTGGTTACTATTTTACTAATTGACACCTAATGATACAAGATTTAGTATTAAAAAAGTGGTACAGGAAGCATTACAGTCCTGTCCTTGCTAAAAATGCAGTCTGATTATGATCTGCAGTTCTATTTGAAAATACATTGTGCACTCAAATTCAGAATGGGTTGAAGTATTTAGCAGGATGCCAATTTAGAGCATATTTATGTCTTTGTTTCTTAAAGAGCATTACATTCTGTATGTCATTCAATAATTAGTGTTTCCTTGTTTGGGTTGATCTAGCTTGGACGGCGTATTGAATCATATGTTCTTCCAATGGAGCTGTTACAACACCTTAAGATTTCTGATTTTCCTAGTCAGCAAAAATACGAAGCGTGGCAGAGAAGGAACTTAAAGGTACTTGAAGCGGGGTTACTCTTACATCCATCCTTGCCCCTGCATGAGACAGACTCACAGTTTCAAAAGCTTAAGGAAATTGTACACGGGGCTATGTTGAAACCCATAGATTCAGGGAAGAACAGCAATTCAATGCAATTACTCCGCAATGTTGTATCATCACTTGCCTGTAGGTCTTTTGATGGTTCTGTCTCTCAGGTATGCCATTGGGCAGATGGAATCCCATTAAATCTCCGGCTCTATGAAATACTTCTAGAAGCTTGCTTTGAGGTGGATGATGCAACATCTATAATTGAAGAAGTTGATGAAGTCCTAGAAATCATTAAAAAGACATGGGTAGTTCTTGGAATGAACCAAATGCTCCATAACATTTGTTTTCTGTGGGTTGTGTTCAAACATTATATTTCATATAACCGAGACGAAGGTGACCTGCTCTTTGCTGCTGAGAATCTCTTGTTGGAAGTTGAAAATGATGCAAAGGCAGCAAAAGATCCAATTCACACCAAAACTTTGGGTTCTGTACTTGGCTTGCTCTTAGGCTGGGCTGAGAAGATGCTTCAAGCTTATCATAGTAGCTTTTACAGGAACAATATTGACATCATGCAAAGTGTACTGTCCATTGCAACATTGGCTGCCAAATTAGGGGAAGGCATATCTAATAAGTATCATAACAAGAGAGAAGGTGATGTTGCATACAGTATAGTTGATGGTTACATCAGGTCATCACTACATAAGGCTTTCACTCAGGCAAGCTAACCTTAGCCTTGATTATTTATACAGCAATTTAACAAACAATGCAAATAAACTGCCATATTCATCTTTCATAAACAGAAACTATGCATCTGTTATAACTAATGGTTAAATGTTGGGGTATTTTTCAAGTGGACATGAAGGTCTGAATGATAATCTACCATGTTATGCAGAATAGTTTGGATGTGTCGTTCTATTATTTGTCTTTAGTGTGTGTATGGGTTTCAGCTCACCAAAAGTTTATTTGTAGAATGTCCATTTTATAAAGTTAGCGGTAAAAGTGGGCTTATCAATGACATTTGTGTTTGGATATGATTTTTCAAAAGCCCGTTTGGTAAAGTGGTGAATCTTCATTGGGATCAACAACATCCAAGCCTTAGTTCTAAAAGATTTGGGGTCGGCTAACATGAATCAATAATTAAATCAGATCTAAAAATGATAAAAAAAAATACTCCCTCCGTCCCTGAAAATACTTCCAACTTTCCCTTTTCGTCCGTCCAAAAAAGAACTTCACTTTCCCTTTTTGGCAAAGAATTTGTGGTTCACAACATTTCTCTCCTCTGCCCTTCTCTCCACCACACAATTCCCACTTTCTTAATCCGCGTGCCACTTTATTTTGGAAGTAAATTCAGGGACGGAGGTAGTAAAAGATAAGATAAGATAAAAAGAAAGGTAAAAAGATTTAAAAAAAGATAAGATAAAAAAAGAAAAAAAAAGATAAAGAACATAAGAAAGATAGAAAAGATGAAATGAAATCAATCCTCCACCAAATATGTTGTCTTCGTTGGGATAAGATGAAAAAATATTGAAACATGCCCCAAATTGCCTTATATCAGTTAAAAAGAAACAAAAAATTGTGTTTGCTAAACTCACTTTAAGTTACATACAGGAATGTGCTTTCTGAAATAAAAAAGTAGCTTCTTAAAAGTGAAAAGCTATTTTGGCGATTCAAAAGAACTCTCGGCATTTGGACAAACAAATCCTAAAAGACATGCCTTGCATCACTTTCAATTTATTTATTGTTCAAAAAGCTTTCATTTCCTTTACTAGAACTCTAAATCCTGTCTGATGGGCTATTATAGTGCTTGCTATGTCAATATGTCATCATTTCATTTTCATTTACCCCAGTGCCACAAAGGCTCCCCCTACGGTGGGGTAAGGGGGGGTCGGATGTACGCAGTCTTACCCCTGTACAAGCACAGAGAGACTGTTTCCAGATGACCCGTAGTGAAAATCGCGTCCAAAATTGCATGGACTGACTACTGCTTCATAACAAAGAAGCGCAGACAGTTTAGTGAGCCTTTTTGCTTTATTCCATCATATTCTCAAGCCAAAAATAATGAATCTTTGGCTCCATTGCAAATGATGGAAATATGTCAATATGTCATATTGTCTAATATTTCCAAATTGATATTGGTGATCCATATTTGTTACTCAGATACTCAATATTGCCTGTAACAGAAATAAAACCTCTCTCTATTTGTATTTATATCACTCAAGATTGTCCTTCTGTCTAAAGACAGGAAAATAAGAAATTGATCTCATCCAAGAAGTCTTCTAAGATTCAGCGGAATTCTCTTCCAATCCTTTCCATCCTTGCACAGAATACCAGTGATCTGGCTTTCAATGAAAAAGAAATATACAGTCCAGTACTGAAGAGATGGCACCCCCTTGCGACTGGTGTAGCTGTGGCTACTCTTCATGCTTGCTATGGGAATGAACTAAAGAAATTTGTTTCCAGCGTCAATGAGTTGACGCCAGATGCTGTACAGGTGCTCATTGCTGCTGACAAGCTGGAAAAAAATCTTGTAAAAATGGCAGTTGCAGATGCAGAAGACAGTGATGATGGAGGAAAGGCACTGATTCAAGAAATGATTCCATTTGAGGCAGAGGCTGTAATTTCAGAGCTGGTAAAGTCATGGATAAGAACAAGGGTGGACAGACTAACAGAATGGATTGATAGGAATCTGCAACAAGAGGTACACCTACTGCCCCCTTCGCACCTTCATTTCACTATTGGGTTGAAGTAGATAGAAATTAGAACCAGAAACGTGGCTCTTTCTTCTATGTCTTCTCAAATGACAATAACAGAATTGGGATGTCTGAGTAACGAAAACATGAACTGTTTTTATACTTTTGGAATGGGCTAACTTAACTTCTATGATGTTTTCTTAGATTTGGAATCCTCTGGCAAACAAGGAGCGGCTTGCTCCTTCTGGTGTGGAGGCTTTGCGTGTTATAGATGAGACTTTAGAAGCGTTCTTCTTGCTGCCAATTCCTATGCATCCTGCCTTGCTTCCCGAGCTACTGAGTGGTCTTGATAAATGCCTTCAGAGATACATATTGAATGTCGAGTCTGGCTGTGGTAAGTGTGTATAGACATATTAGCTCTGCAACAGATAGATTTTACGCTTTATTTGTTGCACTGAAACCTTGTTCCCTGATCTAATTATAGGATCTCCAAGTACATTTGTCCCAACTCTACCTGCTTTGACCAGATGCGCCGCTGGAACAAAATTTGGTGTATTCAAGAAGAAAGAACGGCCAAATACAGTTCTGCAGAAGAACACTCACTTTGGGGCTGCAGATAATATTGATTCCTTTGGTTTGCCACAGCTATGTGTTCGCATCAATACTTTGTATGCCATGCGCAAGCAATTGGATGTACTAGAAAAGAGGACTATTTTGCAGCTGAGAGATAGTGGATGTGTTGCTGATGATGATAATATGGTCAACAGGTTGGGGAAAGGCTTTGAGCTTTCGGCATCTGCTTGTTTGCAAGCAATCAGGCAGCTTTCAGAAGCAACTGCATACAAAGCTGTCTTTCATGATCTGAGTCATGTGTTTTGGGATTACCTTTTTGTGGGCCACATTTCATCCTCTCGTATAGAACCTTTCCTTCAGGAGCTGGAACAAATCTTAGAGGTCATATCATCAACTGTTCATGACAGGGTGCGGACCCGTGTGATCACTGATGTAATGAAAGCATCTTTTGAGGGTTTTTTGTTGATTTTGCTTGCTGGCGATCCTCCTCGTGCTTTTTCTATTCAAGATGCTTCAATAGTAGATGAGGATTTTAAGCTTCTAGCGGATTTATTCTGGTCTGATGGGGATGGACTTCCAGCTGATCTCATAGACAAATATTCTCTGAACTTAAAAGGAGTTCTTCATCTTCTTCATACTGACACGGAGACTCTCATCGCGCAGTTTAATCTTGTGATGGAAGAGAATTACGGTTCCTCAGCCAAATCCATGTTGTTGCCTCCTACGTCAGGTCACTGGAGTCCAACTGAGCCAAACACTATTTTGCGTGTTTTGTGTCATCGTAATGACAAGGTTGCAACAAAGTTCGTCAAGAAGAACTACAACTTGCCAAAGAAACTCTAACCATATTGGCGTTATGCCAGAAACATGTTTACAATTTACTCTTCTGACCATATACAGCCGGGAGAACTTTCTTGCTCTTGTATAGAATATTTTCTGTACTTTTATATTCGAAGAAATAACAACTTGATGCCAAGAAACCCGCACACTGGAGAACTGAAGATCAGTCACCCTTTGGACTGTTGTATTCATGAGACGGCTTCAAGTAGTTCCAGTGCCAGCGCTTCTGTAGCTGGACAGGTAACACTGTAAATCTGTAACTTTACGGTGTTGGATTAATTTATTAGTTCTTCTCAGTACTAGCATAGGTGACACCAGCTAGTGTAACGAGATCTGGAATCTTTACTTTTGTTTGGTTGATGATTTAGTGTTTTATGCAACCTCAAGGTGTGATATGTATAGGCTTCTTGTATTGTTATATTCCTCAAATTGTTACGGAGTATTATTTCACAAAAAATTGTGTTATTCTCGTGATTATAAGTGTGGACCATGACCATCATTCATCAAAAGCAATACCATTCTTATCAAAACTTACCAAAACTGTATAAAATCATTCCGGTTCGGGCCTGGGCCCGGCCGAGCTTGGATGGTTTTGGGTAAGGCCCGGAACCGGCCCGGGAGTCTACCGGTTCCGGTTCATTTTTTTTGTGTGTTTTCTTATTTATTTCAACCCCCACCCCCCAAACCCCTCGGAAACACCCAGCCCAACCCACCTAAACCCAGCCCAAACCCAAAATAAAACAAAAAAAGGCCCGAACCGGCCGGGCCCGTTTGCCTTTTTCATGACCCAGAACCGGAACCAGTTATCCCCTTGGGCCGGGCCTAAGCCCGAAACCGGTTTCCCGGGACGGGCCGGTTCCGTACAGTAGCGGGCCAAGCAGGTTCTGGTTCGGGCGGCCCGAACCAAGCCCATGCCTAATCATTGGCCATTGCCCGGTGATTGTGGACATTTTTTTTACATCTACCATTCTCATTCATACATGATGATAGTTATGGTCTTATGGAGGGTGAGTGGCAATTAGGCATGGACTGAACCGGTTCCGGGCCTGAGTCGGGCCTAGGCCCGGCCGGGCATTTTATTGGTTGGGGGAAGCCCGGGACCGGACCGGGTTTCTAGCGGGTTCGGGCCTGGCCTCGGGCCAGTTTATATATATATATATATATATATATATATATATATATATATATGTGTGTGTGTGTGTGTGTGTATATATACATATATATATATATATATATATATATATATATATATAGATTTAGGTTCATGTGAGAACTTAATCTTAGGAGAGTAAAAAAGAACACATCTTAACCATTGGATTAGATTAAGATAATCCGTGCGCCTAAACCTTCATTAAGGGTAAGGAAGACATTTTGAATTGATCGTTTCTACAATCCCATATTTTACGTTGCATGAATCCTTATACAAGTGTACAACCATTTCATTCCAATTTCCAAAGATATTTTCTGCGTATTCGTTCTTCTCTTTCCTTGTGCGAACGTATCGCACATATATTCTCCTTCGATCGGATTTCATCCAGAAAGAGCAAGCACTGAACGGATTTCGGTCCTCTTTCCGGCCTTACGTTCTTCTTGTTTCCGGCCTACGTTCTTCTTGTCATAGTTGAAGCTACTGGATTTGTTCTGCTGCGTTTTCCGTTTTTGGCTCCAGCCCAACGATTGTATGGATTTCCGTAAGTATCAATCGAATGAATTTTGTCATTGTTTAAACTGTTCAATTTTTACGTTCTTGGACCTATGATTTTTATGCTGTTTCAATTTTGTAGTTTCAATTTTGTAAACATCATACACTTAACGTATATGAATCATCGATTTAAAATTTGTGGTATGTTAATAAGCTTAATCTATGAATCATTGACTTATATGCATTCTGATATTGCACGTGTACTAAAGTTTTTTTAATAGCATATATTTGTTAATTTCGGAATATATTTGTTCTGCACTTCAATCTTATTATGATGCTCTTGTTTGCATTATGATATTGCACGTTTACTACGGTGTCTGTTTATTTTGCTTATGCACTTTAAATTTTATTATGATGCTCTTATATGCATTCTGATATTGCACTTTTATTCTATTCAATATCTTAAACATCATGCGCTTGTATTTTACCGTATCGTGGAGTGTTATTTGAATTATTGTGCAAACTACTTTTTGCAGTATAATTATATTTATTTATTTATGATGCAGATGGTAGACATTGAAAATATGGAGTGAAGAACGCATATGATGAAGAGATGAGCTAATGGTGCATCATAGAAGTGAAAAGCTGCATTGTATTGTTGTAAAAGAGCAGTAACCATAGATTTGTACAAGTGAATTTATGTATACATTAAGGACACATTTCTTAATTGTTAGTTTACAATACTATGCACTAGTCATAATGTAATTAGCACTTTTAGCAATAAAAATGTAGATGAAGTTTTTTTTAAAGGAAAATGTATATGAAGTTCTTGTATTTAAATCTTTTGTTTACCATACATCATGAACTTTAAATAGATCAAATATGCACTTTCAATGTTTGAGGTGTGCATTTTAACAGAACAAAAAATTGTTATATTTAAAAAAAACTATGATACCACATATTTAATTAAATCTATAATATGCATTCCAAATTCATTTTAGTGCATAATAAGTATATAAACACTACATGTATATTGATAAGATTTCAATATCACATTCTTCTTATTAAAATAAAGTGCACTTCTACATTGCAATTATTGCACATAATAATGTTTTCGTTTATGAAAAAAATGCACCTTTTTATAAAAATAAAGTGCACTTCTAAATTATTGCACATTTTTATTACAATAAATGCACATTTGATTAAACGTAATATGTGTGAATATTTAAATGAATATTTGGAAAAAAATCGAACAAGAGTGCAACGATTCACAGTTAAATTGCAATCGATAAATCTTGCAAAGAAAACTCACACGTGAGAGGACCTTAAATTTGGAAAGAAAATAAAATCAAATAAACTATTTATTAAAAAATGGTGCTAATTATGAGGGAGATTACTCCGTATTAATTATTCTCCTAATTTTTAGGATTACTTCCTATTATGGTGGCTTGTACGTGCTAACCACCTAAATGGGGTTCACAAGTATGCCCCTCAATTAATACATTGTTGCTAGTTGCCTTTTTAGAAGCCAAATCCCTTCCGGAAATCATGGATAAACGTTTTCGGATTGCATTTGTTTTTGACCATCGGATTGAAAAAATTAAAGGTAGGATTTTGTTCTTTTTTTACTCTCCTAAGAGGGTGTTCTCAAAGGAACTAACCCCTATATATATATATATACATATATATATATATATATATATATATATATATATATATAGGGCAGTTCACATCAGGAGCTCCTGAAGAGAAGTCTCGTGCGGACAAGCCCATCAGAGGGTCTTCTCCGTGGAATTTTTTGATGAAATTTTTTGAGCATGTTCCTCATCAAGTCTAGTTTATCCATACCAAATTTCAGCTCAAAATTCGATCGGGAAGGCAGTCAAATAAATCCTGGAAAAATATGGCGCATTCTGCGCACATATAATGTGCAGTATGTTTCCAGGATTTATTTGACTGCCTTCCCGATCGAATTTTGAGCTGAAATTTGGTATGGATAAACTAGACTTGATGAGGAACATGTTCAAAAAATTTCATCAAAAATTTCCACCGGGAAGACCCTCTGATGGGCTTGTCCGCACGGAGCTTCTCTTCAGGAGCTCCTGATAGGAACGGGACTCTATATATATATATATATATATATATATATATATATATTAAAGATCATATACAAACTCCTCTTAATTTACAAAGTGCAAACTAATCAGGGCCATCCATTTCCTTTGATCTCCTATGCGTTGAATATCTGATACGGCAATGTAATTTGAGAAGTTGAGGGGCTTTAAAGTCTTTTTGGTTTGTATTACTTTTGGGAAGAAAAAAACTCACGATTTTTCCATATTCTCTCTTCAACATACGTATCTCCTTCCCCCATCTTCTCTTTGCAGCATACACATCTCTTCTTCATCTCAATTTTCATCTCCATCTCTATGCCCAACGCCATCTCCATCTCTATCTTTATCTCCGGTCCATCTCAAATTTAATAGAATCTGATTGGTTTTCTTCTATTTGAACGCCATGGATTCCGGCATCGCCATAAAATTCCGGCATCGCCATGGAGTTCGTTGTACATGCTGGATGTCTTTATTTTTTATGGTATTCGTTTGTATACGAATTCAACAATTTCGTATTTATGTATTGTTCATTTGATTTTAGTATGCAAAATTTTACCTTTTTTTAGTATGAAAAATCTTACCATTTAGAATATGTTTCTCGTACATTATGCATCTTGTTATACCCTGAATTTCGTATGCATGTCGGTTGAGTGCACAATGCAGATTTCATAACGGTAAGATGCACCAAATTGTCTTCTACAATGCACATCTCAGCTTACTAAAATGCAACATACGATATTCTAAAATGTCATGCCATAATGATAAAAATGCAACATATGAGATACTAAAATGCAGATGCTATAGCGATAAGATGCAATATGAACTTCTAAAGTTCACATATCATCTTACTAAAGTGCAATATATGAACTTCCAAAATGCATATATCATAATGATAAAATGCAATATATGAATTACTAAAATGTCAGCATATTTTATCACTATGTAGTTCTAATATAATTTATAGAGACATTATAAATATAAAATGCATATCTCGTAACCTTAATATGCACATCCACTAACCTTAATATGCACATCATATAACCTTAATGTGCACACTTCTACCTATGTTGACATCTGATCTTACAAACTTAAGATGTTAGAAGTTCTAAATTATGCACACGTTATTAATATATAATGCACCTTCCATTGCCTTAATATTTTCGGTTTCAAAAATGAAAGATTAATTAGGAAGTGAATAATTCCCAAAGTCAAGTATATAAATGTCCCTTTACTTTTTGTGAAAGTTTGAACAATTCTTGAAAAGTGATAAGTGAATAATTCCCAAAATCAAGAATAATTGGATATGCTATTGCAACCTTAATTCGTGATGGCTAAAAACTCAGATGTTAATCTATGCACAAATGGGTGGTTGAAATTTAGTAGTTGCATGCAACTCCGTATGTTTCTGTTTTTAAATTTGCTAAACATAAATGGGTGGTAGAACTTTTAATTGTGGGTTACCTGATTTTTTGGGATTTCTTTCCATAAGAGACTATGCGGCTCATTTTTAAAAAATGTTAATTTACTTTGTTGTCCTTGCTTACTAATCGTGCATCTCAATTATCCAACCGTTTTTAGTTCCCTGCATTTCACCTCATTGAATGCTACGGTGGTTAATAGATGGATAGCCATTGATTTGCCCAATTTGAACGTACAAGATGAGTTTGTCATTTTGTACGGGAAGCATGATTTGTATGTGATATCTTCCCTATATATATATATATACACACACACACACACACACACACACACAACTATTCAGGTCCGGCCAGGCCGGACCACTCCCCCCGTCCGGCCTCCTCTATTTGGGGGTCTTCCCGGTGGTATTTTTTGCTCAAATTTTTTGTGTAGGTTCCTCATCAAGTCTAGTTCATCCATATCAAATTTCAGCCAAAAATTCAACCGGGAAGGTTGTCAAATGATTTTTGCAAGTTAACTGGTCCGGAATATGTATTTTCCAGACCAGTTAACTTGCAAAAATCATTTGACGACCTTCCCGATTGAATTTTTCGCTGAAATTTGGTATGGATGAACTAGACTTGATGAGAAATCTACAAAAAAAATTTGAGCAAAAAATATCACCGGGAAGGCCCCCAAATGGAGGAGGCCGAACGGGGCTCCGGTCAGGTATACCTGACCGGAAGAGTACTCTCTCTCTCTCTCTCTCTCTCTCTCTATATATATATATATATATATATATATATATATATATATATATATATATATATATTCGCTTTCCTAGCTACTCCCTACCCCCCCCACCCCCCAAAACACCCAGCCCAACCCGGGGAAACCAAAAAAATTTGAGAAAACCCAAAAAAATTGGCCCGAACCGGGCCCACCCGCCAATTCACCTACCCGAGCCCGCCCCCGCTTTACCCACCGGTTTGGGTCCAAGCCCGGTACCGGACCGAAGGACCGGGTCAGTCCCAGGCCCGCACAGTAGCGGGCCGGGCCGGGTCACGGGCTGGGCGGCCCGAGTTGGGTCCAAGCCTAGTGGCAATTAAGCTTCCTACAATAAAGTTTCTTTTTTCAGGCATGAGCTGATGTCCAGACCACAATTAACTACCTGCAATAAGCACCCACCTGTGCATTTTGGGTGTAATATATGAAATGTTGTGGCAATCAATTTCTGCTGATTGATTTCTTCATTTGCTTACATGAAATTAATGTGCTGATTAAGTGATTATTACTCCGTTATTTGCAGGGTTATTAGCGCCTGCTTCAGAATTTTGATCAGGCTATAATTTTTTATTATGGCGACTTTAAAAAAAAATGCCGGTTCAAGTAGCATCTTTACATTAATGATTCATGACATGACATGTACTTTATAAGCAGCTTTGGTAGCGGCCTTATTGCTGACATCATCTCCAATGCTATAATGTGCACGGTGCACATGTGGCCAAGTGAAAGCCACATAAATATTATCAAATAAATTATTTCTCTCCTAATTTGAATGATTTTATACAATTTTGGTAAGTTTTTCATTGCGATGTCAACAACAATATCAATATCTAGACGGTCTACTTGACATTGTGGAGAAAAATTTACCAAAACTGTATAAAATCATTCAAATAAGGAGAGAAAGAATTTATTTCATAATATTTATGTGGCTATCTCTCATACCACGTGTGCACCGCGCACATTGTACCATTGGAGATGCTCTAAGGTAAATAAACTAGTGCATTATTTTTATTTCTTAGTTAATAAACTAGTTTTTCGAAGTGATTTGGAATCAATGCAAGTCTATTAAAATCTTTGAAACTTGAAGAGTTCATGGACGACTTAGAAATCAATAACCATTAAAAAGAAATCTAAATACTCCATAATTGGCTGAATCTATTTAATTTCACGCATTGAGGGGGTGTCCTCGTTTAGGATTCTAAAGGATTTTAATGGATTGTAAGAATTCAACTGTCCTCAACTTGGAATGTGATGGAATCCGTCAAAATACTGGTGTCCTCAAAATGTCCATGGAATTTTTAACTCATGAATTTCCATGGATTTTAAGGCTAATGCAAAGGGAGAATAGATCCCAAAATCTGACCATTATCGTCCTGATTTCAATGGATTTATCGTAGAGTAGAGCAGCATAGCAAACAAAAGGAACGGAGGAGGTTTGCACCACCACCACCACCGGGTCAAATTTTTGCGTCGAATATTTATTGCCGCTTCTGGGTCGTTTCCTTCTTCTCCTGTGTTCACTGTTCGTGGTTGACGGATTTCCCGGGTGTTATCCTTCCGGCTTTGGATTTGGTCTGGAAGAAGGTTCTCTGTTTTTGTTGGTGTTGCAGTATGATTCTTTCTGGTGATGGGCGCGCTTAACAGGTTTTCCGCTTGGTCCTTTGACCTCCTTCTCCGACAGGTGGGGTGGTAAGAGGGGAAGACATGTTTCGATGGGTTACTATTGCGTGCGAATGTCTTCGTTTGGTTCTCGAGACTTTGGGTACGGTTTACTGAGGGTTGGAAAAATCACCCAAAATCCGAGTAGCAAGAAGGATTCCAATTCCATGAAATTCCAACACAATATCATAGATTCTACATAATTCCATTCAATTCCATTAAAATCTCAGTCATTTAAAATCCTTTAGAATCCTAAACGAGAACACCCCCTGAATTTGTAATACAGAGTAATTAAAATGAGTATAGTTTAAGTAACTTTTAGTTTTCTTGTTGAATTTACTATTTTAGTTATTTTTCATATAATCTTTTCTATATTTTATTAATGAAATATTTTGTAATTTTTTCATAATCCAATAGATTCAGCCAATTAAGTTGCTTCATCCAATTAAGTCATTTCAATCCGAATTTGATCAATTTCAACAGAACCACTCAATTCAGCTAATTTCAGTGTGACCAAAAGGGCTCTAAATATGTTCATCAGGCCAAACATTAACTAAACTAACCTTAAAAGCTTGACACCTTTGAGTGTTTGAGCAAAATTGGCAACTTTAGATCGATGGTGTTTAGTATTGTCTTTTCATAAGTTCTTTTCTTACCAACGATTTTTTTTAAATAACAAGTGATACGGAGTATAATACGGAGTACTATACATATTAGATAAAAATGGCAAAATCCATATAGATAAAAAGTGCCATAGAATAGAACAACAGACCGCTATTTTTATGGCACTGGTCCTCCTATGCTACGACTCCTATGATAGCCTTTTCATTCAGTTTCTTGCAACCCTTCCAAAACCACAGACCCAACATACAACCCAACAGCTCCTACCCCGAGCACTCCAGCCAAAACTGCCTGTACAGCCACAAGCTCAGCGGAGTCATCTGGAATCAACACTATGCACAGAATGGCGCCCGTAAGAACGGGCAGCGCCGCTGAGGCCAATGCAGATGGTGACAAGCTAACCACTTTCTCGAGCAGGCTTAGCAGACCGAGCTCTTCGGCCTTGGAGAACAAGCCTAGCTTCTCTATAGAGGAGAGAGTGAAACCAAGACCCTCTGCCTTTGAGAGCAATCCTGCCTTCTCCACGTTGCTCAAGAACTTACGCTTTTCCAACTTTTTGAAGACGTCGAGCTCCACATCTTCAGTTGCCTCATAGAATATCCCAGCACCGAACCATTTCTTTTCCCAACTCGGATCATACTTGTTCACCTGTATTTTTCACAACACGAATCCTGGTCAATGGCTACTATGAATGTTTTTACTTGGGCTGGAATTTTCTGGTCTGGTCTGATTTGATCTGGTCTGGTAAATGTCTGGTCTCTGTGTATTTTATAACTGTCCAAGTTTGGTCTGGTATGATCTGGGACTGAAAACAGTCCGAGTAAAAGCATCCAATATACAATTATGAGTACTCTATTTAAGATTACCAGCAATTTAAAAGACAGTTCGGTGGTAGCTGAAAAGGATGAATTAACTACATAATACTTCATATGAGTTAAAAGTGGATTTTTTGAGTTAAAATGATTGATCTGATGTGTAATTACCTCAAACATGATATACAGTAATTTTTTTAATGGGGAAAAACAAGGAGACATTTCATTTTAGTAACAATGACCAACCTAAGAGTAAAATTTTAGCAATAGCCAGTAAGTCAATGTTTTGGTCAGTGATAGAGCCAGAAGTTAGGCATTGTAGGGGCCAAAAAATTTAAAAATTTCACATTTAATTGTTTTTTAATAAAAAGTATTTGTGGTTGTATAAGTTGTATTGATACAAGTGATTCTTTGGCGGGGACGAATCCCTCTCCCGCCCCCGGCTGTACCTATAGTTTTGGCTCAAAACCCCTATCAGTCATTCAGTCCAATACCCCGATGCCAGGGTGTCTGGTAATTACTTATAACCTTTGAAGGCATAGAAGCCATGGGCATACCAAACGGGCTGTAAAGCTACTTCCAAATCAAGTAAAAATGTGACAGCTACCATCACTGTTTTTATATTCTATTCTACAAGAGGTTTCCATTCTCATTCTTATTGAAGCTCATCTTAGCCTTCAAGTTTGAACACGTTTAGAATATACTCCGTAATAAATACTGAATCTTAAAGTAGATACAAGCATTACTTCGAATGAATTGAATATTAGAATAATAGAGATAAAATGCAATGCAACAGAGTTGAAACTAATCGCCAATAAGAATTTATATGCACTATCGCTGTGAAATTATCATCGCTGTGAAATTATCAGAACACATTTATATGAACAGAATGGCAAACTTACTTACTCCCTTCCCATTAAGTTTAAGTTTTGGATACGCCAAATTTACGCAAAACTTAGTGACTGCGTATTTAATACTCCTAACTAAATTTACTTCGCTTACCTCATTGTATTGAAACTGATAGGATTTGTTTTGAGGGCATTTCAAAAGGCTAGAGGTTATTCTTACTGCTGAAAATTAGTCTGGTTTTAGTAGCAGTAGTAATAATAATATATTATAGTGATCTGCTTGAAATAATTCAAAGTATCAATTATTTCAAAATAATCCCAACTATTGATATTTTTTCTCAAAATACTCCAATGACTTATAATTATTCTAAATAACTTATAATATTTATGTGTAAGTGGAGTATTTGGACAAGATATTTCAATAGTTGGTGTTATTTTGATACAATTGATATTTTGGATTATTTCAAGCAAATCGCTAATAGTTGGGATTATTCTTGTCCATTATTCCTATATTATAATAGTGTAATAGTGTGTTTTACGATGTGCCCATGTTTTACTCTTAGAGCTGGTTTTTTGTAAACTTTATTTTCAGTTTATCCGTTTTATCAACCAATTTTTTCTTCAAATAAGCAACTTTTGATTCCACACTGGCACACTTTGAATTATTTTATAATCAAAGTTAGAATTACTTTTAGGTCGAATTGAGAATATCATAACTATTTTTCATATATTTTTATCTTTAGTTTATAACGTAGTATTAAAATATATATTAAGTATAACTATAATCGTGTAAAAAAGTAAAAAAAAAAAAAAAAAGTATAACTATAATCGTTTATGATTATAGTTTTTGCAAGGCTAAAGAGATGGCAAAAGTCTACCACTTTCTGAATGAATTCAAAAGTAATTCTGGTTTAAGCTTATAGAAATATACAGAGCTTAGCAAATAGCAACTACTGTACGATTTTGTTATGTCGTACCTTCTTAATGGACGCCATAGCTACAGACCTCTGGCTGGTGGCATTGACATTAGACGGAAACAAGCGGCGAAGTCGAGGCCTGAAGGTGAGCTCCGGATTTCCATGGTATGCTGTTGACGACACCGCCGCCATTGAGTACAATAAATCAGATCACCGATTAGTTTCTTCGGTTTTATTTGAAATGAAAATCCATTTCCTGGTTCGCCATCTCTTTCACCTGAAAACGTCGGCCAACAATTATCCACCAATCAAAACTTTACTCACCCTATCTAAAAAAGGCAATCCGTAAACCATTTAAGGACAATGATGTTTTCTTTTGATTCAAATTTGTTAGTTGTTTGTTAATAGTTGTTTGATCTGGTTTGTTAATTGTTTGATCTCTGTGTATTTTATAATTACAGAAGTCTAGAATGATCTGATCTTATCTGATTTTGGAACTGAAAACAATCCAAAAGAAAATATCTCAATAAACTAAAAAAATTAAATACGGCCACCGTCCATACGAAAATAATACTCCCTCCGTATTTAGTTGTTCTCTATATTAGGTTTGGGCACAAAGTTTTAGGATAAAATAGTACGGGTAATGAATAGTGTAGAAAAAGTAGGAGAGAGTGTGTAAAAGTATGAAAGAGAAGATAAAAAGTGGAAAGAGTAAGGGTAATTGAGTATTTTTAAAGGAAAAAACATACCAAAAAGGAAAAGTGTAGTAAACTTTTAAATACATCCCAAAAGGAAAGTATAACAAACTTTAGAATACGGAGGAAGTACATAGATTTCATGAAGATAGTTTCTTCCCTTCATTTGAGCATTGTCAATAAAACAATTCATCATATTTTTTACATGACAATTTAGTAGAAAATTAACTAAATTATTATACATAATGTCTTTCTTTTAAAAAAAAATTCCCAGAATAATTATGAAATAAAAAATACGAGTACACATTTTGATGTAAAAATATAAAGTTCATTCATTTTTTTAACTTTTTTTGTTAACAAAAAATGAATTTAGTTCAGGTAAAGTTTGATTATTATCATATTCTCTTCTGAACATTTAATCAAATCATGTGTGAACATTTTATGAGCATTCTTGTTAACCTCGTATTCCATTTGAGTAATCTAGCTTTTTTTACGTCTTTCAGCTTTCATAAAAAATAAAATCAGATAATGGTAACTCTGATATTATATGTATATTATTTGTAATATTCTATGACTAATTTACCATTTAAGCCTGTTCATTATTTCCTAAAATATAAATAAGAAACTCTAGGTGGGACGTCAAAAACGAAAGTGAGAAGCCTATGCTAAGACGGGAAAAATAACACTCGTAATTTTTTTCGAAGGTGGGACAAAAAGAGTATTAACCGTGATCACATAATAATTTTTCCACTACTTTAGGAAATAATAAACACTCTTAAATGACAAAGTAATAATCAAATGTTAAAACTAATACACTTACAACATAACAACCATCTTCAATGATCTCGTTGTGTTATATACCCATCAAAATATACTCCAATTAACTTATATACTTCCTCCGCCCCACTTAAAGGTTTCAATGCGTTTTACGATCTTGATTGGCCAAAAAGTAAATTGATCCCTATCATTAATAGAATTTTTTTAGAAGATAAAATTTACATATTCAAAAACTACATTCAAAGTTCTATAATACTAGATAAAAAAAATTGATAAAAGTTCGATATATAAAATAAAAGATTAAGAACAATGCACATTCAACGGAGAATAGTGGATGGAGGGAGACCTTTAAATGGGACGGAAGAGTAATTGTTATCATCTAATTAATTGTTTCATTTTTCAATGAGAAGTTTAACCATGGCAAAGACAATATTGATCTAAACACTATATAAATCCCTTGTTATGCACTATTATGATAATATAATCTAATGTCCCACCTACTACATTCCTGAATACATACATACACACACATACATACATACATACATACATAGGAGACGAACACATGTATATGTATGTATGCGTATGCGTGTGTATGATTAAAAAGAAGGCATATGACAAGAATGACTGTATACTTCAATGAGTTTGATAGTAATTTTGGTGATTAATATTGTGTTCTTTTTTTTTGTTAATATTGTGTTCAACTTTACATTATAGTGACCACGATGAAAACCCCATAATAATTTTATGTATATTTTCATCCATACTTTTTTAGTATTTAAGAAATAGCCTCGTATTAAATACACGTCTTTAGAATGGATTGTGTCTTTAATGGATAGGAACAACATGTGGGAGGAAGAGGAGGAAAAAGAATGATTATATAAGTCTTTCTCTATAAACAATTTTAATGCTATCAACACTCAATTTGTTAAATCCTGATTCGTTCAGTTAATACACATGAGTTATAAATCTCCCATTACTCGATTTTATATGGGTGGGCGCGCTTTGGAATCGGGAACTGGATAACCCTTGAACTAAATTGTTAAAACCTGATTTGTTCAGTTTGTATGATTTGATGTTAAGTCCTCGCGATCCAATAGTGTAGAATAACCGGGTGCTTGATTAAAACAACAACAGCAGGAATGGTGAGAAGCAAAGTGGCAAGTTCTATCATGGACTTAAAACAATTACAACACCCCCTTGTCGAGCCCAAGATCCGGCTCTCTATTCTGCATTGGGAGTTTACAGAGAAACTAGAGAGCAATTTATGTTATAGTATGGAAGTTTGGCAATCCTTTCCAATTAAATAAATGCGAGTACTTATACTATAACGTAGTAGATGTATGAGATGATTTGTAAGTTTGTCAACTTTGGTATGCAATGCGAGTAATTATTGAAATAAATGTTGGAGTATGCAAGTTTGTCAACCGTTTACAAATTTCATAGTTATACAAACAACACATATAAACATGTGTTGATTCCATAAATTTTTACTTTACAATATTCAAGATGATTGTAATGAATAAATTTATGATAAATTATGCTTTTAGGGTTTGAAATGTAATGATATTCATATTTGTACATGTGTCTATAATATATTTTTAAGTCTCAAGGGACTTGCACCAGACGTCTTATTTTTGCTACAGTGATGATCCAACTCTCACTGATATCAAATAATATCAAGTCTGAATAATGAAGAAATCTCTCATTCTATTAATTTTTCACTAAATTAAATTTGGGCTTTGATGATCAAAGTTATTGGATCTCCAAAAAGCATTGATTCTTTATTTTGAATTTTCAACATTTTTGGGTCACACGTAATGTAATTTGTGTTAATTTTTTGAATGAGAAATTTTCTATTCTTAGGAACCGATAAGAGTAAAAATCAAACCATTTAATCTTGATTGGTTCCATAACAATTTTTTAAATTTTTAAATAAAAGTCAAACTGATTTTGTTAATTTATTTTCTTATAGCAATTTATTTGATACAAGAACTCAACCATAAACCTACATCTTCAATTGGGATAAGGATCAAATTGGAACTATGATTACATGTGAATCTCATATTGGACACTAAGGTTTCAAATGTACCAAATTGGACATTATGCTTACATGTGTATTTCATATTGGACACTAAAATTTAAATGGTACAAATGTAAGGTTTTTCTGATCATTTCTGGACACCCACTAAAGACTTCACATTTGAAAGCTACAAATATTTCTTTTTTTTGTTGCCCCCCCCCCCCCCCCCCCCCAAATAGAAATAATTGAATTCATGTATTTAGGTCTAAAATATATAATTAGATGTTCCAATTAATAAAACCTATTATAATGTAATTGAATTCTTTATATTGATAAATTAATTTGACAAATCAATATTTTCCAAAGTTCCATAAAAACCGTATGAATGAAAAGTCCTAAATATATTCTTAACTTGTTAGAAGTTACGGACTACTAATTAAAATCAAACTATATATTCTAAAACCTCAAATTAAATATTACAAAATTATATAATCAATTAAATTAGTTTATTGACACCAAATAAAAAAGGAAAATAAGACTAGCGCTATTTATTAAAGGAAAAATAGACTCATGAGTGTTCAAAAATTACGGATTATGAAATTTTGGCGGCTAAAATGAGATTCCCGCGTAACTATAGTGTCCTGTTTGATCCATTTGAAATCTTAGTTGCCAATATGAGATTCACATGTAACTATGGTATCTGGAACTGCAGAACCGTTCAACTGAATTGTTGAAACCTGATTCGTTCAGTTCCTACAATGAGTTATATATTGTTAACAGTTCGATTCATGATTCATATAAGAAATGTGTCTGGGACTACAGAGCCGTTCAACTGAATTATTGAAACCTGATTCGTTCAGTTCGTATAATGAGTTATAAATTGTTAACAGTTCGATGCATGATTCCTATAAGAAATGTGTCTAAGAAGTCATTATTAGAAATAAAAATTGAGAGTAGGATTAGTAGTAGCACTAGTACTACTAATAACATTAACCATAACAATAACAATAGTAATCATACAATCAATGACATTTCGTTCAAGACAATTTAAATTTAACTGTTTGAAAATAGAAGTTATAAATTCTTGTACATGAAGTTGAATACATTAAACTCATTTCTTTAAAATCATGTTTTGTTCTATCACACAAATTTCATAATTGGAGAAGCAACCCAAATAAACATGTGTTTGATTCCATACGCTTTTACTTTACAATATTCAAGATGATTGTAATGATTACATATAGGGAAAACTGTCAAATAGGTCCTCATAAAAAGTCAATGAAGTTCTCCAACTAAAAAAAGACTCAATGAAGTTTCTCATCCACTTAAGAAACTACAAGAATTTATTTATAGGGACCATTATTGGCGGAAGGTCCCTAAAGTTGGGATTATTCTGGAATAATCAATAGTTGAGATTATTATGAGCGGACCGCCAATAGTTGGGATTATTACAATCAATTTTTCCCTCAATTAAATACATGAACTTTAACAAAACAATCAAATATGTAGTTTAGCCAGTTAAGAACCGGTCATCTGGTTGATTTTACTTTTTTTTCATTTTCCTTTATTTTTACTTTGCCCATTCCACTACTTCTTTCTTTCTTTCTTTCTTTCTTTCTTCCACAGATCCCACCTCACCCTTTTATTGCCCAAGGCTGCAGCAGCTCCACCCCTCTTTTCCTCATCAGATTCTTTCCTCCGCCTTCTCTCGAATCTCTCTCCCATTTTCCTTTCTTCTTCCACACTTGGCTCCATCATTTTCTTTTATGAATGGTCTTAATTAGTCTAAAGATCAATAGGCTCCTGAAAAGAATCCATTCAAAAGTGAATCCAGGTTCAAATGCCTAAGTTAAT